ACACATTGCGGATTTTCCACCTCTACCTTCAAAGAAGTATATCTTGGCTTTTCAGTCAGCTCAAAAACAGATGCGCCACGCATACTCTTCAACAAGAATCAGGTAGAACTAGTGTGCACTTTGAATATTGAACCCATCGAAGCGTGAATGTCGTCGAAGGTCTTTCATGATCATTTCTGCTCAGGAAGCTGTCGATATGATTGAAAAAGTGAATGTTTGTGAGAGAGATACTGTGGTACACGAGCAAACAAAGCTGGATAGGTCGTTCGTCCATTTATGGCGAGGTCGTTCGTTCGAAATGTGGATGGGCGTCAACATGGCAACAGTTCCTTTCCTTCTTTTGGCTGCAGACTTTGCTGGTTTCGGTGCATCACGTCGATGTGCTGGACAGACCTGATGCTGTATTAACTTCACCCGGTTTCAGAAATCTGTTATCGTCATTATGTATATTTGGGTTCTTTAAAGCGATACATTACCTCCTTTTTAACCCCTTTGAGCCTGAATTTTTTCCTGGAAAAAGTTTTCTCCTTACTATTGTTTATCACTTGTGATAGATAAATACCATTATAGCGGAATTTGGAAGCTACTGGATAACAAACTAAGAAATTAGGAAGCTTTGTCAATTGGCACAGCTTCTTAGTTTTTAGCTTTTTATTGAAGCAATTCTAAATTCCTCAGATGTGTCGAAAAAGTTTATGATCTTGCACAACATAATATCTAATGTTCAGGAAATTTTATATATGACAAGTACTTTAGGAATGATTAACACTTTCCTAGAGGCTTGCTGAGACAAGCGCCGATTCATGTTGACTTGTACACAAATACTTGTAATGCTAACAGCATCACACAATAAAATGACAGGCTCAAAGCATAATCAGGAAGGGGAAGGTCGTCTGTAGTAACCTCTAGAGTGGAAGTAGAAAGATGCTGTTGCAGGGTGATTCAGACATTTGAATTTGAAGGTGACAATTGCCACCGCCAGGGCCGAAAGGGTTAAGCCAACAACGCCGTTGAAACTACGTATTCCTACACTCCGAAAACCCAGATGTTCTCAATGGGTTGGTCTATAGTCCTGGTCGCATTTCGGTGGAAAATCTCTGGGACATCTTCGTCCTGCAGTGTCATGCTGGAGTCACTTATAGAGGTTAGGAGAAAAAATTCTGGCAAAATGTCCTCATAGAGAACACCCACACCTTAACACCTTCTTCACTGAAATTGCGAGTGCTGAAGTGAATCGGTACTTTTGCCGGTGACGTCTAAAGTGATAATATCCACTTAGACTGCTTTGATAAATCTTTTTATATGAAAATCCACCTTATGAAATTATTTAGCTAAATTACCATTGACGCAGGTTGGATTTTGTCGAAGCACTTCTTTGTTCAACATTGAGAATTGAAGTTCTCGCCTCGTCATGGCCGGTAGACTTTGGGACCTTCTTTTCTGCTTCCCTGAAAAATACTTGCAGTTCTATTTTTGAAAGAATGTTCAATTGCGAGCAATGAACATTCTTTCAAAAATGAATGAATGCATTTCGAGAGGAAGAAGTGTGTGGAGCAACCTTCATCATTCCTCTAAATTCTTAACAGAAATTTTGTGTGCTAAAAACTAATATGTAGGATATCTGGGGAGGAGGTAACCCTTCGAATATCCGTGAATGAAGCAATTGGTTTTCCAAATTGCTTCGCAATGGCTTACGTACCGCATTGAATACCACGAAACGTGAAAATCTGGCCTTTTCTTCATAAGACGTATACAGTCGAGACAGTCCGGAATTGTTGTTCGTCAAAGTACCAATAACAAATATTTTGTTTGACAGCTAGATTTTGTTGTTTCTCATAACATAATATTTATTTTCTCAGGGTGACCTTATGGAACGAAGGAAAAGCAAGAAGATATACGAAAAAAGAAAGGGTGTCGAGATTGTGATACGAAGCATGTTTATAATAAGGGACTGGCCGGTGATACTAAGAAGTTATCAGTAGGCTGCTTGTTTTGGTAAGGCAAAATTTGAGGTGACCCCATAATTGTGAATGCACTGTAGCAGGTTATCCAAACACATTCCTGTTTGAGCTCTGTTTGACTGCAGAAGTATGGAATCGCGGCAGCTCGACAAAGTGGATCACTTCCTTATCTGCGCTTTATTTCGCGCCAATGCTCTTCGTGTGTAACCTGCAGGATGAACCATAGAGCAGGACGAAGTTCACCAGTAGAACCTCTGCCTGAAAGAGGGTTTCCGTCCGCATCTCCCCCTCCTTTCGTTCACAAGACAGAAAATTAAAGCTAATGAGAAACCGCTGCGAAAAAGTGCTAATTGTGGCAGTGGTTGCAGCGTGTACTGGCGACGGAACACTTTGTTTCTCTGAGACAGCAGAGAGAGACGCAAAACCTATTCCCCTTCAAACGGGCATAATTTCCCTCAGAATGACAGCTTCTAGAAAGGATAATAGCTCCAAAATCGCTGGATTTAGCTTTTCAAGAGCCAAAAATTGTTCCATTAATCTGAAATTATCATTGTTGTGGTGCAAATGGAGAAGAGCTCATTAACATGCACGTTTTGCTCTTCCAATTTTCGCAACTTTTTCGGCATTCATCTTGTGCACATTTTCAAAGCCTTTGAATATTAACTCACTGGCTCTTTTAAAATGATAGAAACTGCTTTGAGAGGTCGTTATCCCAAGAATGGCCTCGATGAGCAATTTTGGTGCATATGAGAGCCAGGTCCTTCAACTCAACTGCCCCTCAAGTTTTTTTTTCGTGCAAATCGGTGTATAACGTGAGGAGCTGCAACACTCGAGCTCGCTTAAAAGGGCTTAATTTTTGGAAAATTGTATCAGTTGTCGTAGTGTAGCATTTGTAGGGTTTCGGGGGGATTTGTGAACGTTTGCTATCCTGGCCTTTCAGTGGGTATGATTTGCTTGACTTCTCTTTCAAGGAATTGGTGAGTGGTGAAAAATACTAGGAAATGAGAGGTTTTAAGGTTACTGGGCGTCTTCTGAAATTCATTTCGGAGGCCCCTCTCCTGACATTTTTTGTTGTAATGAGTAGGATCAGCACACTTCTAACCGACTGATCTCGGTATGGTGTATGCCACAAAGTCGCGTTCTCAGGTCAGACTTATGTAGACATTTGAAAGCTTCGTGCCTACTGATGTGCTCCTTGCTGTAGGGGCTTATGACTATAACAACTTGCACTATGTTATTCCCCACTCACGTCTTTCTATGCGATCACGTTTCCTGGATTAACATAATCCTCAGTGAAGGGATAAAGGCAGTCTTTTGTGCATTCGACTTTCTTACTACTCTTTCTCACATCGTGGCTTTCCCCTTTCGCTGACAAAACACTGGCTTCCTGCCATTGACCCTCACGCATGTGACGTCCCCGTTGATCAAATAAATTAATATAATCCGTGGGTTACTCAGAGGACGACCGGCAAGGAAGGCACCTTGGACTCCTTCTAACCGACTGCGTTCGTTCCTCCTTTTGCAATTATTTGACATTACTTCACGAGAAATCTATCCTGTTGATCCATGCCATGATGAATTTGGGCGATGCATTTTTCACGTTACGTCTCGTTTGATGATTTCGCGCTGAATTTATTGGAGTTATATTGAAGCATATCGCGCTTGCATGGAATGTCTAGTCTTGTTTACGTCATCGAACAAAGTATCCCCAAAGGGTAATTCTAATGACCGTTCCAAATTGTTTAGATTTTCACGTTTACGTCTTTATGAATACCGCACTTTTCTCCATGCTTTTGTTTTTTAATCATCACAAAATTCTATTTGTTGGAATAATTTCTTCGAGTGGTGGCAGCAATCCTCTCAATCACCCTGTCTCCGCATCCTATATCCCCGCCCTTTTCCGTTAGGCAATGCCTTTGGGCATGTCGGAACTGGTGGAGGCAGTTTCTGCCTTTTCAGTACTTATTACTTCCTTAATTCCCTTTCATTTTCGCCAAGTATTTCTTGAGCTATACTTAGCTTTCATTCCACTACAAGTGGAAAGCTGTGCGAATAATGGAGCTTAAGTTTAAGGCACCTCTGTGCGAAAACATTCTGTTGAGATCTGGTAAATGAGTTTTGCATCCATGGTCTCCTGAATTCTAGCTGATGAAGCTCACACCTCCAAGATGCGCACCACGTCTTTGAAATTTCCTACGCTTACTCTGTACTAACGACCTTACGTTACTAGCGTATTTTTTTGCCATAGGCTGAGGTCCAACTCATCGGCATCTCGTGCTTTTCTCGTAGGTATTTCGACTATTGCATCACCAAGGCTATGTCTCACCTTATCCTAGCTTCCAGTGGAATATTAAAGTGTTATTTTCAAAAACAGCGGAATCTCGACTAACCAGTCACACGCTATGCGTGCGAGCGCTGGTAAGCTAGGGTAAAGATTTCAGTGAAATCTGAGTTTAAGGAATCATCCACAGAAAAGCTGTTCCTACCCATCAGCTGGACGGTATCTGCCACGGTGGGTGGGACCGAAGTGCTTTTGTGACGAGGTGCACGGCCATCTATGTTTCTGAAATGGTTTAACATAAAACCCCTTTCGCTTCACGTTTTCAACACAATTTTACCTGTTGGCTCTCTAACGCCAACAATTGTGCCAGCTTTCCGGCGGGAATTCAAATTTGTTATAGCCCCCGGGTTGCTCTATTCGAGAGGCAAAAGAGCTAAGGTATCAGCTTCTGGTGAGGATGGAGGCTAGGTTTTTTTCGTGGACCATTCCTTTAACTTGAAGTATGGTCACGGTAATGCAATGGTTAGCAAACATGCTAGAACACGGAATCCGAGTTCGAGCCCCAACGGCGGCAAAAGTGTTTTGCCCGAAAGTGAGCAACCTTGTTAGAACTTTCGTATCGCGTGCTGCGGCGAAAAACAATAGTCGGCAAAACAAAGCAAATCAAAATCTTCGCACAAAGTCGTTGTGAAAGCGTTGCGCCTTCTGCTCTCCATCGTTCTCCTTCTTATTCTTCTGTTGTATTTCTAATAGTTTAGATGATGTATCCATCGTACGGAAGTATGGATCATCCAACGTGCGTCTATAATCGCTCCTGTCGTATAGTCAGCATCCCTGCTCAGGTGATCAGATTTTTTCTACTAATTTGGCTGCGCCATGTCACGTATACTTCTTACTTTACGCTGTCTTTGACCATTAAAATAGACATAGATTTTCATGTCGGGTTTGCTCGGAGGTGATTACGTGCAGCACACATGTGTGAGTTGAAGTGTTGTGCGAAAACTATGACTAACAGAGTGCCTTCCATTACTGAATCTCGAAGGGAGATGGCCAAAAAGTGGAGAGAGACAGGGGTAAGGAGATATCTGCATTTCAATCACACCGTGTTATTCCATAGTAATACGCTGTGGCGCACTGTTCACCGGCAATGGGCACTGAAATCGCGTCGTGGGATGTGGGCTGTTGTGGTGACACTTTTACTACATCTTTACTACATATATCTCAGTTCAATATGCTGTTTACGCTGTTTTGTTCTTCGTCATCGTAGTTCCTCTCTTGAAATCACACCTAGAAAATCTTCTGGGTTTATAGAGGGTAGGGGAGTTGATAACAACGATTGGCTGTTTGGTTAAGAGCAGCCCAAAGGAACACAAAGCGTGACAAAATTACGAGGCGGCTGCTCTATAAAAAGCGCGTACAAAATGATATTGAAAGGCGACTATAACGAGAGTAACCAAGACGTAGGCGGAGCGGTTCTGGGGCGGGGCCATTTTTCAGGTTTGGCCACAACTAGCGCTCGTTACGCCGCGAAAACGGCACCATTGGCTTCTTTTGCCCCCTAGACACCGCTTGCAGTGGCGCATATACTCAGTCAGGGTGCATCCACCTTATAATGAATACTACCTTCAACTATGCAGCTCTACCAAAATTAAGGATTGCTGAAAATAGTCGCAGTTTGCGCTTTTTTTATGGCGCTCAAATTGAGTTGACCTATTGTCCCGTAGACTCAGCGAAAATTTTTGGGAAAAGTAATCATAACATTACGAATAGTTGACAAAATAGCGGATCAAGAAAAAGCACATACACATGTTTATTAGGTTGCACGGTAATTAGCTTTTTTTCTGAATTTGTCTCTTTAACTCATTCACACCGGCGGCAGCCTATATGGCCTGCCAAGGAGTTGTGCTTGTGAGACGATGGTACCCATGTCGGCTGCCTGCTAGTAATCGCTTACCAGGCGCTATGAATGGAAAGTCAGGTGCTTGAATCTCGCACTCAAGTTTAAAATGCTTTTAAATTTCTTTACGGGGAAACTGAATAAATGCGCTTTTTTCGTTACCACCATTCGTCGTTTTGATCGAAACCCTACTATTATATGTTTAGATAACCTTTACGCATTGGACATTGCTGAAATTATTTTCTGACATTCCGTTTTTGTTCATTTACAGTACAAAATCCGCGGATGTGAGGTTAGCCGGCGCCCAAAATCACGTCCGTTCCACGCGCCAGAAAAGTGAGAAGTCGCAAATGTGTTAAGATTGCATGCTTTCACATAACGTGAATACTGTTCGAAAGAGAATTGTTATCTTATCTTACGTACTCGAAAAGAGAAAAGAAAGCGCTATTGCGTGATTCGTATTAGTAACATGATTATGGAATTTCAAAGGAAAATTTCTGGTTCACATTATCAGTTAACGGTAAGTCGGCAGAGCGGTTTTTGAAAGTAAACGGCACGTGTTGTTCAACAGCTCAATAGTGGAAGGTTAGGAAGGGTTGTGACTGAGCAAAGAGTAACTGAAGCATAAAGGATTTTGCCGTTATTCAATCCGGGGGGGGGGACGCACGAGCCAGGATTTGATAGCGTGTGGTAAGCGTGTCACTTGCCGCTACACCTCTGCCGCTTCTTCTTTTCAAACTTCCGCCCCAGTCGGGACGAACAGTAAATTCATTTTATTTATTTTTATTTATGCGCCCCAATGACGCGCTCTTACACACGGGGTATCTGATGCAAACACTAAATCAACATTGAATAAATACTAAATAAATAGACAAGAGGATCGGAGTCGTACCACCTAACCGCTATCATAGTGGGAAACAGCCATCGTAGAGGGAAAAAAGTCAATGTTAAGAAGTAATAAAGCAGAAACGGAGACAGAAGAACACCCTAGCCACAACAAGTGGAAATCCGGCAGACACCTACACCAGTCGGCAATGGGGCCCTTAGCGCCACAAAAGGGGTCATGGGAGTTTGCCGGAACTTCGAGACACGAATATACCGACAGCCCTCGTGGAACCGGCAAGCCAGGTGAGAGCGGAATTCCAAACCTTGTGAGAACAGAGCATGGAGAGACTGCTCAAAGAAAAGGGTTGAGAAAGATCAGATGATGCTGTCTATACTCTCGGTAGTTTTTGGCCGAAAAGGGAAAAGTTCATCAATAATATCACTGGATTTCAATGAGAGACTGCGATCCCCTTGATTGGTAGAATAAAGAATCAGAAATTAAAATGGAAAATTACTGACTAATTTTTTCTAGAGAAACATGGAGTTTGAGTTAGAAACCTGTCCGGTACCTTTCCGTCCATTAAACCTCCCAGTTCCACATTTCTGACGTGCCACAGCAGGCTTGAGCGACATGTGTTCACTCCCCTGCGCGCCTTAGAGGCTGTGGTCACGACGTTTGGGGGAGGCGGAGGACGTTCAATGGCGTCATAGGAACAGCACAACCCTCCATAATCGTGCTAAGCCTTTGAAGGCACGGCTCGTGATGGCATTGGTGTGTTATCTTTTTTGGAAATTAGGCAAAAAGTGCAATGAAGAACTAGTGGAGAGAAAAACTCAAAAAGCGCCATAGAAAACACTAAAATTTCCTTGTGAGGCTGGACGTGGTGAGATTGAGATAGGTTGCGCTGCGAGGAGAGGCAAAGCATCACTACGCTGCGGTTGATCAGGTTGATCACAGCCTGGCACTTTCGTATCGCGACAGTGTCGCGCGTCTTGTGCTTGGGAGCCTCTTTTATTCCCTCTAGGAGGGACTACCCTTGTCACATGATCACAACTCGTGGCTTTAACCCTTCGCCTACTGTGAAAGAAAAGTGTTACGACCATACCTCTACAAATTTCTTTTGGCAACGAGCCAAACTATTAGGTGAGACTACTAACCCCAGAAATGTCACTATGTAGGCGTTAGCTGGAGAGAACAAATTATATGAATTTCATTGGGTGATTCACTTGATTTCGGTCATTTTTCTCGCTCAAGAAAAGTTTATTATTGTTTATTTATCTATTTGTGAAATTTTTTCACAAAATTTCACAAATTATTTCTCACTATATTCTTCAACCTTACTCCAATCTTCTTTACCGCAATGGTACGATTTTGGTCTCAAAATAATCATTTCATCAGACCATTTTTGCACCTCATCAACTTCTAGCAGTTGTGCTAGCCGAGCAGCGCTGCATCGATCTGAACAAGTGGAAATTAGAAAGCGCTATGTCCGATGATTACGTTGGGGCAAAAGGATTCCGCATCCCAACGGCAAAATGTGTTTCATTGACAATTTTTTCAAAATTTGCGTGCTATGAGTAGAGAGGCGGTGCGGGTAGGGGGCAGGTCTGGCAGTACTCCTGTTCCTTCTGAATCTTACTGCATGCGATCGTTTCGAAACATCCACTTTAGCAACTTCTAGTTCACCAGTAAGCTCCACAAGCGCTGTAATGTTTGCGAGCTATTATCATGGAATTTTTAAGCTGGTTCGTGGTGTTTTTTCTGTCAATGACAACAAAACTACCACTTCTCAGCTGATCAGAGTGATTTTTGCAGTACAATGGAGCCTGATCGACATAAGTTCCCACAAAATTCGATGACTGGTTGTCCTATTTGTGTCGAACGGTAGAGAAATTAGTCAAAAAAGCAGTTAGGACTCTTCATTTCCAAAGTGCATAAATGAGGGAACCAAAAAGGACTGTGACTGGGAAAGCGTATGTTAAATGAAACCATTACGTATGAAAGTTTTTGATTGTATTCATACTTATTATTTTTCATTTATGATCACTGAAAACCGACCAGAATCAAGTACACTCACTAATAAGTAGTATAAAGAAGGGACTGACAAGCCACTTTTGCTGGTTTTCCGTCAGTGATGGAAGTTTGAAAATTTATTTCACGTTTAACAGATTTCGCGGTGGTTGCGTAAGGCCCATCATAGGCAGATGTCAGACTTTGCCAATCGAGCGATTTGCTAGCGTCCGCTGTCGCGTCGCGGTACCGGCCAATAGGCGTTTCGGGACAAGATTATAAGTTAAGGAACATAGGATGTAATACGTACCGTTTGCGTCAGAGCGCGGTTGCAGGCTTTCCAGTGCACAATGCCAGCACTAGTGTGAGAGCGGTCAACGACGCGCCCGCTGCTGTTCGGGGCAGCGAACCAAAAATGGAGCGACGTCGCAGCGTTCGCCTCGCCCTTGCGCGACGAAGCGAACACCGTCGCAAAATCCGGCTCGCCGCCGCGCGATGGGCGCACCCGCGACGAAGCGAGCACCGTTTGCGGCGTCCGGTGCGCCGCTTGCCCACGAAACCAAGCACCGTCGCAGCATTCGTCTGCGGCTGCGCGCGAGGTTGAACGCTGCGCGCGCTTCGCGCGCGTGCACAGCGAGGTGATCCCGGGTGCCGCCATCCACCTTTACATAAACGGCGCATAGTACTCTGCGCGGGCTGCTCGACGCATTCTCTCTTCGTTGAGAGGTGCAGAGAAGACGAGAAAATCGAGGACGTGAGAATGCGCGCCCAGTGCAACGTCGAGAAGGTTACGCGTTACACCTCATGTTCCTTAACTTATAATCTTGTGGTTCGGTGGCCGCAACGCGACCGCAGGCGCCAATAGATCTCTCGACTCGCAGTCTGACATCGGCCATGCCTTGCGCCGGCGCGAATAATGCTAATTCAGTACGGCCTAGGATAAGTTCTGCGCTAGAAATTCACCATCGAAAGCAACATTGACATGGGAACCAAAATACGACGTGTCCACAACGGCGTAAAGTATGAAAGGATCCCAAGCGGATTCCTTGAAATAATCGAGCTTTTTATGAATCTGAACTGATCCGGTAATCAAGATTTGAGTTTTCAGGTTCCTATGCACTGGGCGATACCTCTTTACGGTTACCTCATGCCGGTAATCGTAACATTAACATTGGCCACCAATTCGTTTATTGTGATAGTACTATCTCATAAATATCTTCGAACGCCAACCAACTATGTACTGTTGGCAATGGCCGTTTCTGAACTGCTGACGGGATTTTGTGTGATGCCGTGGTTTTTGTACTACTTTACTTTATCTGGTAAGTTTACATCTATGTGATTGTTCTGATTGTTTTTGAATATAATTCAAATTAAGCACCGCACACCACTAATGAAGGGTTGATATTTGTGTGTGTATGTGCTAAATGAATTGCAGACCCTCAGCTGTGGTTATAATGTAAACACATAAGATCTATAAGGCATTCGAGCGGGAAGGTCCGGGCGGCAAGTAAACAGATTTTCAACAGCTGCTTCATTTCGCGTTTCTCCATGATCAAAAAACAGCTCGGGATATATTTATCGTTTATAAGGGGTGTCCTATGAATGTCTTTGTTCCATTGGTCAGTCTTCGACGACTCGCCGTGCTGTAGGCGCGCTACCGAGCCCGACGGCGAACATTGGAGGCACGTTTGTGGGAGGAAGGTCGCCAAACATGTGGGGGGGGGGAGGTTGAGAAGATTAAAAACGGACCACGTAAGATCGCCCTTCTCTGGAATTGAATGGGGTTTTCTGGAAACCCTCCCTTCTTTGTCGACCACAATACGCTTCCGCGGCCAGTTCCGAATTTCTCGATCCCTAACAGTTTCTTCAGCTGTAATTCCTTCTTCCTATAGTTACAGTTCAATGGAGCAAATGCTGAGAACAGACTTTCCTGATGATTGATTTTCACTTCAAATTAATCCCTTGAAGTTAAAGATTATCTACTGTAAGGATGTGAAGTACATTTGAAAAAGGGCAGAACCCTTCCGGATGACGACATGGACTCCATCAGGGCCCAAACGTGGACTGAAAACAAACAAGATAAAATTTGGAGGGAATTGTTTACTAACTTAACATTTGGGATCGTAGTTGCTCAGCTCTTTTTGCCTTTGACTGTAATTCTTGCCTTTCACGGGTATATACTCTTTTTCGGAAGACGGGAATAGCGTCGAGTGCAGACTACACACCACAAGCGAAGACACGAGAAAAATGTGGCCTTTTTCTTGCTCATCGTCACTTGTGATGTGGGGTCTGCAGTCGATGCTCTTTTTGTCTTCTGAAATAAAATATATATTAGATCGCAAACGTAAGTGATTGCGGATTCTTTTAAGAACCTGGCAAACACATACTATTTAGGCACACATCCACCTAAGTGGAAGGTCTTTCTAGGACATATAGGGACAGCAATCGTTCGTATTCTTACTTTTCATCATCTGCATGTTTTCTAGAGCTCAGATAACGCTACTTAATGCTTAACTTAACTAGACGCTACTTCCGAAGAAATCGTGAGGGCAGCTATGTCTCTGAAAACCAAGCACGTTCACATATCCTTCTATTGCTTGCTTCTAGGACTTCCTGACTGCATGGCAGTTCTTGAGGATAAGCAATGGGTGCCATGCCATGCTTTCACGGCGCCACGATTTAAGCTATCAGGGAATTTTACCAACTGGGCCTTGGCCGATCTGAGAATACGCGTGCGCATCTGGCGAAGCTTGTTGTGGAGGCGTTGCCCTTTCGATTGAACCGACAAGTGGTCAGCCGACATGAGAAGTGGGCACTCTATGCACGCTAAATAGGGAGGCGTCAGTGAGTGGATGTATTAAGCAGCAAAAAGGAGTTCTAGAAGATGAACCTAATCTGAAATCTCTGTGTTTCTCTATCGTTGGACAAGAACATCATTAAAGGAATCCTTCGCGGAAAATTCTTGCAATCTTCTTCAACATGAATGGATCAGCTGTGATCACTAGGTGCAATACACAGTTTTACGCATGAAGGTTCGGTTTCCGAAGAGAAACAAGCTCACGAAAATCCATTCTGTGGACATCGAAGGTAATTCGGGCGGAGCCAAAGGCGCGGCATGGAATAAGTCTGCACCGGGACGCCTACTTATCAGGTGACGCACTGAAAGAGTCGGGCTGAAGCGCGCGACGGATAGTAGAGACAAATTGATCGATAGAATAGGATGGAGTAAAAGTGTGAGATGTAAATGCACTCAGTCAAAAGGTCAGAAACAGTTTCTAGTGAAGGCACTCCACAAACCAAGTAGAAGCATTTGTGAAAGACATCCCTGGGCCTTTCAAACTCGTAGCAGCCCTTTCGGTTTTTCGAATTTTTTTTTTACCAAAACAAGTGCAATTTTTCGGTTCTTTTCATTCTTGTCGTGGATGATGGGTCTCATACCAGTGAATTATGGCTGAAATTGAATCGTGATTTTTCCGTGAAAGATTTCTTCAAAGCAACAGTCCCAGCAGGGTTTGTTTCTTTCAATGCTAATGGTACTGAAGGATGTACAGGCCCTGTTGGAGAACATCTAAAGTGCAGTTATAAAGAAAACTCACCTGGGAAAAGTTTAAAAAGGGCGTTAAACTCCTCAAAGATGGGTGTGGTTGAAGATTGATTCAGGACCGCCCACTTGCCAGCCGTGATTGGCTACGCAGACATTCGTGCTCGTTTTGGGACCACAGGGTGTATTTGAACTCTGTCCTTTAAAGTGAATGTGATCCTGCCTGTTGCACTGTAATTGTTTCTTTTTTTGTTGTTGTGATGTTGTTATGCTATCTATAGTGTTACGTAATTATGTTAGTGTTATGCACCTGGAGCACATTTAGTGCGTGCAAGTTCAGGCAACTCGTCCAACGCGCGTCTTCCCACATCGCTAAGCGGCAGAGGGGGAGTCCCTATTTAAAGCCCTGTTCGGCGTTTTTCTTTGGTTTTTTCGTCACTATCGGTGAGACTGTCGCCTATAACTACATTATAAACGACATTTACCCCGCAATTCGTCCTGGGATTGTTGCTTTAAGTATATCCGAACGACCACCGCCAGTGCGCACCTACTATAGCGCGTTTCAAAAGTACGAGGGCACCCCTAAGAACTGCAGCAGCAAGTCAGGGCTTGCTACCTACTTCATCGGACACAGCATGCTCTAAAAGTGAAGTCCACCTTATTACAAGAAGTGAAATCAGGGACAAACATTTTCTGAAAAATATAGTTCACAAAAGCACATGACACCCTTGGGAAGAGCATTTAACAGTGGAATATCTCTTTCTTAAAATTTATTTGCGGTTCTGTTGGCCTGCTTGGTGAGAGCGCATTATTTTCAAGGTGCCTGGACAAGTTGAGCCTTTCACGGTGGAACAGCTTCTATGGTACCGAGATGTTTTGAGAGCACACCTAAGGCCTTCCATAATATTTTCTGCTTGCCACCAGCGTAGATTTGCCTCACAATACTTCTCCAAATGTTTTGTATGGAATTTAAATCCTAACAGCAAGCGGCTCAATCCATCAAATTGTTGACGCTAAGCCGCTGTTTAGCGGGTCAGCTGCAGTAGATGGCATAGCTGTCTTCAAGGAAGATGAAATTCTACCTCTTACTTACCGTATACTTCTTCACATAGGAACGAGAGGCAATCACTAGCACGAACATTCTCATAGTCGCTGCAGTCCGTTTCACACGATACACAATTTAGGGAGAGTGCAGCGTTGTTGCCTAATGCTGCCCAGCATTTTGAATCCCCACTGAAATCCCTCCAGCTGAAGACCACTGATCGTTTCTAGGCAGCCGGTGGGTCACCATTCGGTTTGTTCCCCTTGGAAAATATACCCCCACTCAGAAGAGCTCTAAATAGTCGCCATAGTAAAAGCGTTTTCTTATCCAATTCGAGGCCAGCTGTTTTGTGGTCATCCAGTCAAGAGATCTTCATCATGGACTCTTGCCACAATCTTGGAGAATGAGTTGGGTGCTATCCAGATGGTGAAGCTCTATTAGGAAAGTGAAAGTACACCGGAGCTGGCTGACTGATATGATAGAAATAGAAAGCGATATGGTCTTCCAAAGATGTCGTTACATATGAAAAACCGCATTTCTCATAATTTATTGTTATTATTGATTATTATTATGTTAATTCCTTCGCTAACAAGGCGAGCAATGCTATCTTTCTCAACACATTGGAAACGTCATGAAAGACATCCAACATTCTTCTTATCAAAACCTCTCGAATTCTGGAAAGGCATTCACCTTTCCGGAGGATAGCTTTGATCAGTGATGGAGTAGCGGTACGGGACGAAATTGAGTTGGAATAGAAAGACGAGTTCTGTTTGAAATGCAGGTCAAATCCGCAGCTGTTTACACTGCGAAAATAGAGGTTGACATAGAGGTTGCATCATACGGAATTCTTCAATAAGGTAGTAGGTATGCACGCGTCGCCGCTACTTGAACGTATCGCCTGAGAAATTTGATTCCTGTTACTCCGCTGCACGCTAATATGCTCTTAACATGTATAAGTGATGGTGAAGTGCCTGACATATCTCGAGATTTTTGCTGACCCAACTCACCTGCTACCCTACGCGGGCTTACATACGCACCCACCATCAGAGTCAACCGTGCGTTGCGCAGTTTTCAACGGCCACGTTGCGCAGTTTCGCCCGATTAGACACGTTCTCTCGCGCGAACATTCACACTCGCATGCTCGAGCCGTCTGCGTCTCCGCCCATACAGCGTGCGTTGAGGATCTCTCAACGTGCCCTTGCGAACTGCGCAACGCAGGGTTGACTCTGCCCACCATATCGAGTGACGGTAGTAGGCGCCGCAGTCCAACGACTAAATCGATCTCGAGCTGATGGACTGTTCTCAAAGTTCATATTTATGAGTAAGGATTGTGGCAACAACCATGAAAAAAGGTAAGCAGTGAAGAAAAGCATACATTCTCTTGTTTTAGGCTTTGAATCTGATATAAAATACGGACTGTCCTCGTTCTGGTGTAATGCAGTTCCATACATGGCTGCTGTTTTACCGTCAATCTTCCATACCACTGCGATATGGTTAACCGTCTATTTGGCTATACAAAGATACATCTATATTTGTATACCGACGTCAGTCAGTCGATTTTGCACAGCCAGACGCAGCAAACAGGCGAGTGAATGTCACAACTTCTAACTGATTATCATGCTTTTCTAATTGGCGAAGAAAATCGTGCTGGGTTACGTAGTAGTGTATTGTTAGGTCATAGCGCGGCGATCTGTATGTTCGCGGTATGCCGCTTACGATACACCATTTTTCTTTCAGGCCGATGTCAGATGTTGCGAATCGCGCGATTCGCAAAGTCTGACATCGACCTCATGCTTTTCGCTCTCATGCGTGCAAATGCGTCTAGCCGCGTATGCGTCACGAAGTCTTACCGCTGAGTGAGCAGGGGGGGAGGGGTGCGAGAGGGGGAGTGGGGAGAGGAGAGCAAAAAACAGTTTCTCCTCCAAATTTGAAAGTATTGATTATCAATACCTTGCTGAAGTAAGAGCACATTCCATTTGAAAAATGTCAAGTTAGCCTTCTACTTCGACGAAATCAGAAGCATTTGCAACAGAAACATGATGCATCGCTAGAGCATAGCGAGATCCACAACGTATTGCAAACTATGATGAAGTTATATAAAACTTGTTGGGAGGGGTTTTCATGGTCAGAGGTAGTGTTTTTATAATAGAAAGTTATTCACTGCTGAGCCGCGCGAAGAAAATATTGTAAGAATGTAGCATAGAATGTAGCAGCTTTATGCTGGAGCAACTACGGTCCTCATTGAGTTCAACGGCATCGTCATATCCTGAAGATAGTTCTAGAGTAAAAGAGGAACGTTTCTGCTAAGGGGGGGGGGGGAACATATAGGGAATGTTTGGCCGGAAAGCTTAGATCAACGACGGCACATTTGTGATGAATCGTTTGCTGACGTGCGCTATGGGCCGTGGCCAGATGACAATTTTTGCCCCCCCCCCCGTGCATAGGCGCGCTGCATGCGAAAGGATGATGTGCACCACTGTTGGAGTATCAGGACCGGGTGTGCATCAATCGCATGCAGCGTGCGATAAATTGCGTGATAATTGATTCGAGACGTTCAGCTAGGGATAGGATTTCGTGATGCTACGGCTAGACGCACTAGCACGGGTGATAGCGAGAGGACTGCTGCTTGAACCTATTGTGTCACAAGTGTCGTGTGCGGCATACTGCAAATGTGCACCTGGCCGCGCTATGACCGAACTGTACACATTTTCGAGATCAAAGCCAAATTTTTTTTGCCAGAGTATTTGCCATGGCATATATTTTTACTAATTTTGCAGGCAATCTTCGGAATTTGCATTGCAGCCGTTTTAATACATATTCCTGATGTATTAGCTTTCGAGAACGAGTCATTGGATGTAATGGACTTCAGAAGTAATGGTATGATTCTGCCATAGTTATTATGAATGAGTAATACTTTTCAACAGTAGCTAAACAAAGGGTTTTTACTGATATGTAAGGCAAAACTAAATTAATATTGAAATCAGTCGCTTACCGCGTTGACATTTGCCCTAAAAGCCCAGCATGCATCACACTGGTGTGATCCTTGCTTATTTTTGTGTGATCTGGATGGACCGTATTTAAGCTACCGGTTGGAAAGCCAGCCTTATGTGGGGGCTAACTCCCGCGTAAATGACAGGCATTCTTCCTTGCCATTCATCTATCCCGAAAAGAAGTGGAAGCATGGCGCATCCCTAAAAGGGATCGATCAGAGCTGAAGGCTACATCCTTTTATACTTTAGCGGCAACGAGAGGGCTAAAGAGGTATATTCAAGGTTAATTGCACTACTGAGAAGCACCCATCCGTTTTCCTCAAACGGCGTTATTTACTCCACTCTTAGTGGCCCCGTATCTCGTTAGCTTACCGGTTGTTGAAAAGGTTACATCCTCATAGTCATAGTAACGCTCATCACAGCGAAGAGAGACAGTTGATGACATTCCATTTATAATGTCCCTTCATTTTTGAAATTTTGAATGTTCAGCCACAAGAAGGATGTGCTATCGACACCAGACATGGTTAACGAAGGCAGTCGGCATCGACCTTTTCTATAACCTGACATTCTGCGCACAAGCTCTCCTCGTTCATCTTGCCCCATGTGCTTTGCTGGTGGTGTTCACATGGAAACTAATCCGAGCACTCAAAATAGCAGATAAACGTCATGCAACCCTGTTTTCCAAGTAAGTTCGAGTAACAGTGATGAACTTTTACGAGCCATTTTTCACTTTAACTTGTTTTCTGGTTAAATTGTCCTCCCTTTGCGAGTTTTTTAGACTTCTTCGATTGCTATCCGATTGGAAAAATCTTTTCTGAGATTTACATTATTCAGAATCTTTTCACATGGGACTTCGGGTGTGTAGTTGAACTGTGTTGAATTCCACTGGACGCCTCGTAGGGGCTACTTATTAGGCTCCACATTTACACTGCTCGTAGGCCCTGGGCGGTACTCCTACCGTAGGCCCGTAGGCGCGTGCGGACTGGGCCGTGTGTTATCCTTCGCCAAACTACTTGATCCAAAGATTCCTTTAAATTTATTTGTTTTGAACGATATAGTTTCGTCATTTTCAGTGCATGTTTATTTTAACCTACATACATGCATTAAATGTAGGCCCTATATCAGAGCAATCCCAGTTGGGAAGGCAGAGAAAATTCAAAGGGATTTTCGTCCCTCAATCCCTTCGGGGAGGATAGCATACGGCCCTTGATCTATAGTGGCTCAACGACTCTGATAGGAAACTCTTTCACGATCAGAATTACAAAACTAAACTGATGGTGAATTAATAGCTGCCACTTACTCTCCTTCTATACAACAGCGGCGGTGACGTCAACATAATGACAGAAACACCTGACGATTGTCCCTTCAAAATGTAGCTCTGGTGGTTTTTTTCTGCAGGTGGAGGTGGGCAAGAAGGGCAAGGATGTTCCCCTCAATTCAGCTAACGACTGGTTTGCCGTTTTTACTTCGCTAAATTCCCTTTGTGTCTCTTCGAAGTATATGCAGCTTATCTGATCTATCTGTTTCGAATGTAATTTTTCTGTTTTCCATTGCTCATAGCACATCTTAAAACAATGAAAATTAATGACAAAAAATAAATGTGAACTAAAGGATCGATTTAGAAACAAAAACATCTATAAATGATTGATCCGGCGTAGTCACAATCCTTCAACGAAGCTTCCCTTTTGCTTGTAAGTTGGTCGATCCCGTTTTTTTAGTGACGGAGAGAAGAATATTTTCAAGAAAAAAAATAATAAACAGAATGCCAATCTTTCTAAAAAAGGCGCGAAAAAACCGCAGTTATTATGCATCAACCCAATATCCTGCATTTCACTTACATAGCCAAAGAATTGTATTAGGTTGTCTCATAAACAGTGTCGCTTTTTTTCAACCAAAAAATTTTGATCTAAATCCCCATGCTTTTACAGAGAGTTATATACAATTCAAAAGAGAATTGTCTGCTCTACACAGCATCGTGTTCTTCTTCCATCTATGTGCCATGGTTTTTCAAATTTTAAGCCGTGAATTGGGAGGTCCGCCGACAAAAATGCACAAACCGACAACTAGCTCTAACTTTATGTTCCCTTCGGAGAAAATCAATCAATGATGTACCCTCACTTACTCATGACTCTTTCTGAACATTTCACCCTTAGGTTGCCGAAACAAGTTTGCCCTGTTTCTTTTCGAATTGGCCAACCTATAGGTAATGGCAATTTTCAAATTGAAATTTCTTCCTCTGAAACGCTATTGTTTTATATCAACTGGTTATCTTATGTGAGCACTTCTTCTTTTATTCGCTCATTTGGTTGTTTGATGTTTGTTAGGAATAGCTCGAATTTTAGGGTTTAGGAGTAAGGTGCTTTGTCCACAAAAGTGACCGTTCTTGGAAAGAAATTATCCTTGAGGAGATGAGAAAACCAACCAGGCGTACATTCCTAACTTAGTCACACTTGTTCTTGAAATCACTAGTTTTTCCAATGTCTCGGCTGTAAAAAAATTTCGACCTCCTATCTACGGTTATGGTGGCTCAACCGTCGGAGTTCTGGGGGAAAAACCGGGTCTGGAAATGGAATGATGAGACTTGTTGGGAAACCCTAATAGTGTAATGTTTAGAAGAGGTCATGCATAAGTAGAGGTACATACATTGATTGATTTCTCGAAGGGAACATAAAGTTAGAGCTAGTTGCCGGTTTGGTCAACTTTTGTCGGCGGACTCCCATTTCGCATGCCTCAAATTTGAAAACCATTGAACATAGATGGCAGAAGACACGATGCTGTGTAGAGCAGACAATTCTCTTTTGAATTGTATATAACTCTCTGTAAAAGCATGGGGATTTAGATCAAAATTTTCTGGTTGAAAAAAAAGCGACACTATTTATGAGACAACCTAATACATATATTGAGTCCATAGTAGGATTTGTTGTGTGGCCGACGAAGTAGCATGCAGGTAAATTCGGTTAAACGATGGGAGACGGGGAGTGAATGACACAAAGTGTCTTCTTTTGTTCATTGCTAAGCTTATTTTTAAGATCGTTCCGACGGAAGTTTCCGGAGTCGCAGATGTTGGAAGTAATAACGCCTGAACGGAACGCGACAAGGCTTTTGAAACCTCGTAAAAGCATTGGTGAGCCAAAGCGAGCGCAAGGATTGAAGCAGGTTGGTAGGATAATTCATAATATTAGTGCTCAGTTAATATTTGAACTTGCTCGTCAGTTTCCCCCTCATTGCCCTTTCAAGTGTCATATCATGCATAGGGAATGGACGGGGAGCAAGCACGGTTTTCTCGCATTCTCGAGGCTTAGGCCATGTTGTTTCGATAGAGTGAGATACTTCAAATTGCGCAGTCCTTGGGCAGCCTATCGGGGAAAGTCCTACTCCTCCATAGTCAATGCGATGATAATTTCATGCTCTCTCTGGTAATATCCTTGCAGCACGCGGCCACATTGAGTGAAATCAGCGTGCTGCGCCATGCGCATCATGCCGTACGCAGTAGGCTAAAAATGCTAGTTTTAATGCGCAATTTGCATGTGCCGTTGCAGTTGGGATGAAGGGTGTAGATTTCGTCAACGCTTGATATTTGACGTAGGGAATCCTACCATTCGCGATGCTCAGCCATTTTTTAACAGGTTTCGTAAGAGCAGTAAGAAATTCGAACGAGATCCCGCAGGACTTCGAAGAGGGTTGCCAACAATTGCGGTAGAAAAGGCTGCGAGACCTCGCACTGTAGAAAAACCGGGAATTAGTAGTGCGATCTCAACTGCAGCTACCATGTGGCCATGAGCTCATAGCAACCTGGTGAAGGCCTACTTCCAAGGTGTCCCAAAACACGTAGGTGATCACTAGAAGCCCTCCAAAGATTCCCCATCAGAATAGTTTAGGTGAGTTCGAACTCAATCGGATGTAAGGATGACACTACTACACTGGTGTGCAAAACTTAAGGACGAGATAGATAAATTGTCCTAACTTATTAACAATTGGATGAAATTGGACGAAACTGTACGGGCATAATGCTAGAAGCCCTACAGTCATGGGCACCGAAGCCTCATATGTCTTGCATCCGGCTTCAATCTGGAGCCTAAATGTGGTAACCACCCAGAACGATGGGTATCGTGGGGCAGGACAAGAGGGGTGAACTGAGCAGGGAGAAGTGACTGTGGAATGTAGTGGTGTTTCTAATTACATCAAGTCTCGGAGACAACACTAGGGTGACTTTACACAAGAAAGAATCATTGGGAAACTGAAAAAAGGAAGTTGTGTCCTCGAGTTTTGTGTCAACCACAGCATGTTTTTTGTGCATGAGAAGCAATGTGGACTGCAGCCAATGCTGTTCCAAGAAGAGGAGGTTGTGGGTCACGAATAACCGCAGCAGCAGGTGATTGCTAGTTTTTGCTACAGGCAAAAATGGACCCACGTCAGTCACATGCTGCAGTTGCAAAGACATTTATCAGGATTGTAAGGCATGTAATCCCAGTCGGGACAGTGGCGCAGTGACCGCATAGGGGTGATTTCTCTCATCGACCAACAATTCCTGCATTCATTTGAAATCCACGCCTCGGTTGGGACATTTGGTACGAGCCGAGACATTGGAGATGGACCACCGAATTGAAAAAACGCGTATCCTTCCCGGTCAAGAGCAAACTGAATGTGAGTAGTGATTCTTGACTTACCTGCATATGGGGAATAGGAACGTGTAATCTACCCAGGACCATCGTTTAACATGATTGTTTTGGTAGTATGCGACGTATGTGGGGAGGCACAAAGTTGTCGGGGCTTACTGATCCCCAACTCATGATCGCGTTACACTTTCTGATCAAAGTGATTGTGGTGTTGTACCCTTCTGTCATGTGCATCTTTCCAAGGGTTCCCTAGCCCTCAGCTTCAATCGTATGGAGGGCAGTGTGTGAGAGTATCGAGCAGCCTGGGTGGAAAACACTTGAAAATTGAGGATTTTCGGTAATTGGTGAAGCCATTTATTTCCACCAGTCTAATTCTATGGAGCACGTGTGGCGTGGATTCAGATGAGCTATTGTAGCACATGGCCATGTGCCAACAATAGTCCTGCAGTTGTCAATCGCGGTCTTCAAGAAATCGGTCACATCTCTTCAAGAACTCTTAACTAATCTTACGGCCTGTATGGGTACACGTAGCACAGCATACTTTGCAGTCCGTAGTGTTCATACACCCCATCAAGAACCTGCTCCTCTCTTTTGAATGTCTACCATGAGTTGGAGAAGCCTCACCTATCGACCGCTTCAGACAGGGTATTTGCAGAAAAATGTCTTTTCCAATCGCCTCTTTGCGCTTTTCTGTTAGTAACTTGCACTGTACCGCAACATTTCCTTCTATATATGTGCCAGATTTGGTCCACCTAGGTTAACTAGCAGTGAGATATCATGTGAAATTACTTCCGTCCTTAAGTTTTGCACACCAGTGTAGATGGCAGTAGAAGGACTGGTAGCGCCGCCCCTTGAGTATAAACAACGACAGCGGCAGAGAAAGTAGAAATATTGTGCGAGGGGTGGAGACGCAGGTATACTCGCAGTTTGAATGTGGCCAAACTATTAGTATGCGTGGGTCAAAGCAGGGTGGCAGAAAGGAAAAGGGAACCACCTTGAATTGATACTTCATTGGTGTAGCGTAGGCTATTCCCTTTCCTCTGTAACTTCTTGAACATCGACAGGCAGAGCCGTTAAGTACACTGGTAACGATCCCAGTCATGGGACGTTTCATCAAATGTTCAAGCCCATGTGTAACGCAAGTTTTACTGACAATTTGAAGGATGCTCACCATCGGCCATGGCTTATTGCCAATGGCATGGGAACGTCCACGCTGCCACTCGCAAGGTTGTTGAATCAGCACTGCGTGAAGTGCGAGATCCAGGGTACAAGTCTGAGAATGGCGCATTTTTGCAGATAGCGTGCAGAAGCTGCCAATTTCAACAAGGGTCAGGTCCATGTTCCTGCGTTCATTGATCCTCATCAATGAGTAGAGAGCACCACACTTGATTGCTAGTTTCGAGTTTTACTATCATCCCATATGAAAGCAACTGAACATTGTGATGGATGAGACCATCTCAGACATAATTCAAGCACTTCGTTCTGACATTGTTATTAGCAAGTATGTCATGCTTGGGAGAGTGATACGCAATTTTCCCGGAAGCCTGATTAAATCCAGTTGATCATTTCATTCGCTATCTTCAGCTCGCTTGCGAAAAGCCATCCACTCGTAACTTCTCTCATTATGGCTTTCTACTAGTCATTCAATCAGGCAGTCATTTTTCTATTCTCTCCGGATTTCAATTTTCCGCCGTCCTGCTAACCTAATGAAGCATTTGCAACATGTTTCAGCATTAGTGTTCCTCCACGGAGTTTTTTTTTCTTATCCGAAGCCTAAACAGTTCCGCTCTTACAAAAGGGGTCTGTCAGGGTGTGGGCCCTTTTCAAAACGGTTCTCTGCATTTTATGGGAGTTCATGCGTGGAGTGCAAACCGAAGTCCATTTTTGATCGTCCCTGTGAAGGCTAAAAGTAATGAAGAAATGTTGCATTTTAGGTTGGAGCATTCGAGCTTCGCCCAAATAATGCGAGCGCCCATAGTAGGTATCACATTTGTTACCGGGGGATTCTCCTTGCTAGAAACTATACGTTACTCCAGCACTGTAAAACCATCAATCGAGACAAATTTTTTCGATCATTTTTCTGCCGTCTGGGGTCGCTCAGCGGAAGTGAGCCTCAGTTTTGTAGTCCACGTGGGAGTCCGTACAGAATGCAAAAACCGTTTTGGAAAAGCGCTCCACACTCTGAATAACCTCTCTTGTTATAGAACACCAGAAAGCTCAGTAAACAATGTCTACGAATTTATTTCACAAAACAACTCATGTTTCATTTCAGAATACACGAATGCTGATCGTCGTGATAGTACTGTTTCTTGTTACCGAGATTCCGGCCGCATTGATCTTCATGACACATGTGTTGTCAGTGTCACTGAAATCACATGTCATCAATTATAAGCTGCTCAATATTTTGTTAATAGTAAGGTGGGTGATGTTATTCACTGAATCGTTATTCACTGGTCGTTTGAAAGGACTGTCATTATTAAAAAATCATGAGAACTGATGATGGGAAGTTGAGAATTCTACGCTTTGACTTGTTTTTGTTTGTTAACTGCTGTTTTTGGCCACATCGCCTTGCGAACGTTTCACAAGAATGCTGAGTTGTTAATAAAACTTGGCGGGACGAGAACCCGCACCGCTCGCTTTCCGGGCAAGTGCGCTACCAGTTACGTTACCGGGACACCATTTCACTCCAACTCAACTTTTCATGGTATACTTCATAGTATAGAAGAAATTTGCATGGTATCCAGGGAGGAATTTATCAGCATCAGCATCAGCAATTTGATTCTTTCTCCGGTGCTATCTTAGTTGGAGCCACGCGGCGGCACGGCGCTCTGGTCATCTGCTCATCCAAAGGCTTAGTGCCAGGGTTAGTTACTATTTCGCCATCACGTGGCGTTTCAAAATACGTGCCATCGAGGACTAATTGTAAGCCTTGCAGGAGGAGACGAAGAGCGCCACGCCGCCGCGTTGCCCCCTCCAACTAAGGTAGCACCATTTCTCCTTTAGGCCGATGTCAGACTTTGCGAATTTAGCGATCCGAGTTGTGTATCAGCACTGTTTGAAAGTGGCTGGACCCAACGTTTAAGAAAGTGTTGCGACCTCCAAACAGAGTGTTCTATAAAATGGCTTCCTTCTCGAGTCGCTAGTACATCGTTCGATCCGCTGACACATAGTGCGATCCGCTGGTGCAACGCTCATGTCCAGTGGTTTGCTAGCGAATCGCTTTATTCGCAAAGTACACTGCGTCCCATAATTATACGTCCACCTAAGAATTTCCCAAAATCTCAGAAATACAGATGTTACGAAAAAAGTCTCCTATGTGAAAATGTATCGCATGTAAATACGCAATTGCCTATAAACACCAATTTTCTATTTAAGATCACAGGAATTTTTCCCAATAATTTTTGTGTAAAAGGCCACTCAGCCGTCGTCCCAAAATTATACGTCCACCTCACGTTTATCGATTACTTTTCACTTCTGTTCCACGAAACATTTTCATTGTGGTAACACTTCACTTCTTAAGAAACGCATATTAAAGACTGCTGTTAGGAAATTTGAGAGGAAAAAAATGTCGGCAAAACTGCTTGACCAACGCCAATTCGCACCAGACTTTAGTCCAGATTCACCCGCCAAGCTTGAGAAATTTTTCCGGGTTTCCACATAATATTCGGAGCTTCGACAGCGTTGCGTCTATAAATCCTCTCATGTACTTTTCGATGGAAACAAAGGCGGTGTTTACTAGGAAATAACATTCTCATTTTTCCATCCAAACAGTGCTCTGATCATCGATTCTTTTTTGAAAACTTGTATGCTTCAACGACTTTTGTTTACGCATGCGATGTAAATGAATCCCAAGATCGTTCTTGGATCGGCCAACACATGTAAAGACGTTTTCATCATTGATGGCAAGAATCGTGGCGAAAACCTGGGCCTGATTTTTTGCATGAAGGTGTCAGCCGAGCCGACTGAGTAAGGGTTCGCTTTCTGCCCGGATACTGTTTTGCATTTGGTTTGTTTCTCTCTACGTACTACCTTTTCCCTTTATGGGCTTTTTTTCTAAGAGGAGCGACTAACTAAAAGAGAAAAAATCTGAAAAGGAAGAGAACCGGACGAAACAACTCATAGCTAGCAAGTAACAAAAAGGACGCCTGCTCCCAGGCGGCTGGCTGCACCGCTTCAATGCAAATAAGTCATGCACGCAATTTTTCGCCAGCTTCTTTGCCACAATGGGACTGTCTTCACGATTTTCCGATCAAGAACGATCTTGGGATTCCTTTACATGCATGAAACAAAAGTCTGTTGTGTTGAGGCATAAAGTTCTCAAGAAGATTCGGTGACAGAGCACCGTTGGATGAAAATGGATGTTTCTGTAACACCGCTTTTGTTTCCATCGAAAAGTAATGAGAGACTTTTAGAGCTCTTCTAAGCTCCATATCATGTGCAACCCCTGAAAAAAATTCTCAAGCTTGGCGTGAATCTGGACCAAATCTGGTGCGGTTCCGTTGTTCATCAGTTTTTGCGACATTTTTCCTTTCTCAAAATCCAACAGCAGTCTTTATTATGCTCTTCTCTTAAGAAGTGAAGTGTTACCACAATGAAAACGTTTCGTGGAACAGAAGTGAAAAGTAATCGATAAACGTGAGGTGGACGTATAATTTTGGGACGACGGCTGAGTGGCCTTTTACACAAAAATTATTGGGAAAAATTCCTGTGATCTCAAATAGAAAATTGATGTTCATAGGCAATTGCGTATTTACATGCGATACATTTTCACATAGGAGACTTTTTTCGTAACATCTGTATTTCTGAGATTTTGGGAAATTCTTAGGTGGACGTATAATTATGGGACGCAGTGTATGACATCGCCCTCACTCCTTCAATCAACAGTAAACCTGATATTCTCTGTACAGTGTGTACTTATAGTATGCAAGAAATAGACAAAGATTTTTCAACCTGTTATCATCGCGCATTCACAACTTCACTCGTGATGAAGCATTCTGCGTTCTCACTGGTCAGAATGAAATGGTGCCCCGGTAGCGTAAATGGTAGTGCACTTGCCCGGAAAGCGAGAGGTGTGGGTTCTAGTCCCGCCTGGGCGGAAGTTTTGTTCACAACCCAGCATTCTTGTGAAACCTACGTTTTAAATTTTCGATCGCATTGGCGGAGTACAATAAAAGGAATATTAGTTGGTTCAAGATGAACAGTGCAAAATCAAAGGCCGGGGTTGTTTTGTGGAGCGTTAGCAAACAATAATGGTCCAGAACAACAGAAGAGAAACGTATCACATGAATGAAGAGGTGTAAACATCACAGGACGTAAACAGGGGCATAAAAGCGCCATAAGGCAGGGTAACCCTTTTAATGACATTTCTCAAGGCTCACAGAAATGGATAGATGTTTGAATTAAATAAGCGGGATAGACGTTCGAGTGGACATTTCTATCCATTACCAGCAGTGGTCGCTTCAGGGCAAACGTAGTTCAAAGTCAAAATACGCCGTTTACGACGCGCGCGTTCAACTAGTTAACTCCTAGATCGAATGCTGCCCGTGCCAACCAAACCCTCGTCACTGTGTGGTCGTTAATTACTATCAGGTTTGCCTGGTAGGATAAGAACCGAGTTGTCCATTGCCCTTTGCAAAAAGGTATCCGTTCCGTAGATGGAGAACATTCCTTGCAGACCTCTCCTTACATACGATCCAAAAAATATATCGGATTTCCTCCCGTAATGTCTTAGCCTCACATCCGGCTTTCGCTCTACACGCGGGTGTCCCCCAAGAGGCCCACCGCGCGGCGAAGGAAGAGACGCAGATGCGGCAAAGGACGAGTCGCAGAGCATACTGTGGCGTTCAGGCGTCAGGTTAAAAAGTGTGTACCATTCTACGTCTCATATCGCATAGCACGCGCTGGGACTCGTCCATTGCCGCATCTGCGTCTCTTCCTTCACTGCGCGATGGGCCTCTTGGGGGACACCCCTCTACACGCAATAGCGTCTGGCGTAGCTGTCGTAGCTTCCCACTTTTCTTACAAACACCCACGTTACACAGCCAATTCTGTGTATTAGCATCATTCACCGGTGGGTCAAGGGCGTTATCCGACGTCGGGTTAGCCTCCTAGAACTCTGTTCGGGCAACACCACTTTTTCCACCCGTTTTCGATGGAAACTCACCTGTTAGGTCTCACTAGTTTCCTACTTACGAATACTAAAGTCATTCTTAGAGCCGGTGCACTGTGATATCAGCATGATGCCGCATATCTAGGATATACGTTGTCATCACAGTTTATTGAGCCTTCAACTGCACATTGTCGCCTTTTGGCAATGAGAAGATGGTGTTTTTCTTGCTTGCCACTCCCCACTCCGAAATCCAAAAATAAGTATCAAAAAGTGCCTTACGCTCCGAACGACGCCTTGCGTCTAGTAAAACTACTGTCATTCCTTGTGTTCGGACATCCATTCCCAGTGTTGTTTCAAATTCAGCACCTCCAGTGTGTTGCATTTAGTGGTCTCATCCAGAGCTCTCATGACGACTTCTCACTGGTCATTCTTCTTTCCTAGAGCACAGAACCGTCCAGTCTTGTCAGTGAGACCACTAGGTGCAACACATTGGACGTGTATTTCTGCTGGTAGTGTGCACCACTACAGAAGAGTCCGTAGATGGATTCATCTCTTGGAGTAGACCCATTTGATTAGCTTGTGAGCTTTCAATATTGCTCCTCTCTGCGCTATTTTGTTATTAGTTATCACTTTCGCGTTATTTAAGTGAACTAATGTTCTAGTTGCTAAGTTCCCGTTGTCATCTTTTCTTGGTAGTATCCTCCTTCAAGCTGCACCTGACTCTTCATTGAAGAATCAGGCATTTTCGGCTTGGGTATTGACTCTCACTGACTTGGTTGGCTTGAAGTCATAGTCTAGCTCGTCGCTGGTGAAGTCGTGCAACCTACGTGATCAGATGAACAATCGCTATTCATGTTAGTCGTACCCGAAACACTTCTGATCCTAAAAGAGTGGTCACATTGGCCCCATTGGAAGAGAATCCACATGGTTGCTTGTAGCCGAAAGTGGATCGCTACGTTCACGATAAAATGAGATTAGCCGCTGTCGTTTCTACTGTGTTGTTGTCTAAAATCGTGTGTCCCTGTTCAGTGGAACGCTTACGTTTGACGAGAAGAGTGGAAGACTGCTGACTATGAATCCTCCAACTTGGAAAGTGTATGATAAGAAAAGTGCCAGACGTGAGGTAAATAGGCGGGCTAAAGGTTCAGGTCAAGTTTGACTTGGAGTGAAACGGCACCGGCAGACGCGATATTTTCCAAGGCGGCTTCTTCACCTGTCTCACAAGGGAAGAATCTCCAGTCGAAATGGCCACTTGTAATGCAACCTCTAATTATATGTGATCATTTAGCCAATAAAGTTGATGAGGTTGAGGAAGTATTGCCAGTATGGCTTAAGGCATTTTTTTATTAGCATGGACACATGATTTTTTTGAACACAAAACATCCAATCCTGCAAAGAATCGATCCTGCTTCCCCATGGCGCTCATACCTCGCCTGATTTACAGTAGTGATCAACGCCTCCGTGTGTAAGCAATGGACAAATGTATCTTCCAATGAGAAAATTATCATTTTGGAAAGGAAGTTCTGAAACACTCAATTCGCTCTAAACAATAATTTGCATCGCACTAAATCAACTTTTCCTGTGAGACACTTCGAGCCTTTGACCTGGAGACATCACCTCACGAGAGGTGCTCAGAATCAGTCCAGTGATAGAATGGGGTGTGTTCTCTCAAGTGGCGCCTTCATTACGGCTTGAACGCTACGCAGCGGAAACTTTGATCCCTCTGACGCAACGTACGACTACTGTCATTCAAGACGTCGTCGACGCTGTAATAGAGGATGATCCAAGACAGTCGTCACAGTGTATGGTAAGGCGTCTTGAGTGTTCTCACCACGCGTTCTTTAGGCTCTTCAGGAATTAGACAAGTCTTGGAAATGAGGTCGATGGGTGACGCACGATTTCACCAAGTGGCCATCTGCACATGTACTTCTCGTCGCACAGTAGCAACGATAGGTCGCGGCATGTGGCCATTGGCCAAGACAAATGGACCGTCTGCTTTAACCATATGCGAAAGCAGCAGCGGTTTGGAATATGGGAAAGTGGAGTTTCAATGCCTTGACCTGACAACTATGAGGGAATGGTGATGTTGTCAAACTTTTGGAATTTTGACGGTATTTTCCATGGGTGATGTGTGTGCAGGATTGACGATGACAAGGGCTACCCGCTGCTAACTGCTCGGAACGATTGCAGGAAGGCTCCACGGAATACAGCGACAAGTCAATCTGCTTCACGGCAACGCGCGTCGGCGCGGGTCTCATGCCACAAGATTCTCAAGCTATGCTGGACCGCGGTTGCCCGTCTTCCATATTCGTCGAATCTATCCATACACGTCTTCCACGTTTCCTGCTCGCTCGCTCATTACCTGGAGAACAGAAAGCTCGACCACGAGAAGGACTGCAAGTCCGACTTCAAAAGATTGTTTGACAAAAATTCTCCTAATTTCTACAAATGTGGTGTTAGCCACGAAGCTTGGCGTAGTATTGCTAAGTCTGATGGTCAATATGTTCCGGGTCTTAAAAAAACAAAGGATAAAAAAATAATTTAAAATTGGCTGTGAGGTGTTTCAGAACTTTCTTTCCAACCTAATATTCAGAAGATTTGGAAGAGAGTGCGGAAGTCGGCGTTGAAGCGCATATACTGTGTGCATCTCATCTTGAGGCCCATAACCTGAGTGAGTAGGGTCAATCACCCGTTGCGCAGAGATCGAGGGGGTCGCATCTGCCAGTGGGAGAGGGTCATGAGTTCGAGTAGTAGTTACAAAATTTGAAGGTTACAAGGATAGAGTAACAGAGGAGGAAAGATTTTCGACCTTCATGTCAGTCACTTGCACGGACATGTGGCAAGTGGCTGCGTCTGGTTTCCTTGACGTTCGCTCCCTCATCCCGGCACTCATTTTCGCCGTATGCTTGAAATATAGGAAAAAGATTACCAAAATGAAGGTCCTTATTTATCGTATTTTCTGCATTTGTCTTGTTTTTTTTTCAACTCAAAGCAACTCAGCATGGCTTCACCTTAGAGACTTTTCAACGAATTTTCCAACCGTTGAATGTTGCTTAAGGTTTAGTCACTCTATCGTGTCAGGCCTTGCATGTGCCATTTTTCACATGTATCTAGGGATAATCGCATTAAACCCATTAAGGTTCTAATTGGTAGTGGAATTCAGGGCTTTCCAGGAAGGAATTTATCAGTGCCTGGTTCTTTCTCCTTTAGCCCTTCAATCTACAGTGAACGTAACATTCTCTGTACAGTGTGTAGATATAGTAGAGTGCAAGGAATGGACCGAGTTTCTGAAACTTATTATCATCGCGCATTCCCAACCTCACCCGTGATGAAACATTCTGCATTCTCATTGAATAAGTGAAGTAGAATGATGATACCCCTAGACGGGACTTTGCTCATCATCGATAATTAAAACCACAGTGAAGTGCACTGCATCCTGGATAAACGTTAGATCAACGTGAAAGTGATGACAGTTATATAGACAAGTATAGAATTTGTTGGATACAAGCAAAGTTTACTATTTGCAGAAATGTTCTCATTGTGATTTCCTACCCATTTCGTTTTACGATTTATTGTGGAATGTCACAGCAGTTTCGTGATGTTGTAAAACAGGTAAGAAGTTGCAGTTTCAACAGTTTCTACACTAATCCGCCTATTATAAGGAACACCTACTCGATCAACGTTGATAAGGGGAGGTGTTCAGAGCGTAGAGCACTTTTTAAGACATTTTTTGTATATCGGCCAAAGGGGCATGAATAGATCCAAACTTTATCGTCGTGAGACGGGTGTCTGAAGGCCAGGGAAGGGTCTGTGTCACAGGAATGGTCCAAGGGTCGATTCCGCGCAATGACATTTTTGCATTTTGGTCTGCACTTCCAGCTTAGCGCCAAAAGAAGACGGCACCAAGAATTGACGTCAAATATCAAGACATGCTGCTCCATTGAGGCATTGTGGCCGCACAGGCTTCATGTTCAGCATACTCAGCGCGAGTTCCCCAAGTGTTGCACCTGTCCGCGGCTGTGCAGTACATACCCTAACCATGAGCGCCAAGTGTGTCAATTTCCGCCATGCAAATGTATCACATTATACCCTCACGGGAAGGCCAATGAGCTTTTTGATATCTGGCAGGGACGCTTTCCTCCAAAAGAATGACAATGATCAACGTTGGAACTAAGCGGACCCGAGTCAGCGTTTATTCACTGCTTTTTGGGTGCTAACTTAGTCGGGGGGGGAAGGAGGGGCACGCGGCGGCGCGGCAGTCTGCTCGCCTGGCATGTTCGGAATTCCGTGGGCCAGGAGGAGTGTAGGCAGTCTAGGGGGTGGGGTGGGGGCAGTCACTTGACATGCGTGAAAAGCTGGAATGTTCGAGTTTACACCATCTCGCTCGAAAGAACCCAGGTGAGCAGACTGCCGCGCCGCCGCGTGGCCCCCCCCCCACTAAGTTAGCACCCTTTTTTGTACCTATTTCAAGGCATGAATAGGTTTATAAAAGGCGGTCGATATAAATGAAATTAGTCGAACGGGATACGAGTGACAAAGAGTGAATTTTCGAGAAAAACAACCTTTTTTGTTCAAACGGATCGAATACTCCTCCCTACCTCGTCTAATGTGTTTACAACGAAATTTTTCAGATGTTCACCGGTAAAGTTTTACGGGAAGCCCACGATGGAGAGAACTCCACTTCGATGGCGTTGGCACAGACAACCACTGAAAAGGACAGTGGTGAAAAGCAGTAGGTGAACACCATGTATGTAGGTCGAAGCACCATTTCATTCCCGACAACATGCTTCTAATGACGCTTGTTGAAAATATTTCACACTGGAAATTAAGTACTACACAGATGACTAAGAAAGAATGTGTGCATCTTTCCACGCATAATGTTCGCATTCCTTTGAACAACGAAGGGAGTTGGAAGGATGCTCTTCCAGCTCCAGTTTTCTCATTATTATAGCTTGGGCTCCTTTCGTGCTTTGTGTCGTTGCGGACGTTACGGATAGTGCGGAGGGAGATAGCCGTTTGGACGGAGCGAGCACCCGAAGTAAGGCGTGAATTATATTGTTCTCCTGTAGTCACATACCATGCGCTCGCATCGACGCGCTTTCTGCGGTAACCATTCCGAAGGTAATGCCAACAACGAAGCTACCCAAGGGGCAGCAATGCAAAAATGGTCGAGCTTTGCGGCGCGCGGGCGGGGAGCCTGAGCGCTGCGCGCGAGCGTGTATCCATATGTGTAGCCTATACGAACGGCGCTTAGTACAGTTGGCAAGTTTGCTCGACACGTTCTCTCGTCGTTGAGAGCGCAGAGAAAACGAGGGCAAGCACACGCTTCAACGCATCAATGCGCCGCGCATCGTACGTGACTACAGGTGAACAATATAATACACGGCTTACTTCGAATGCTCGCTCCGTTCAAACGGCTTATCTCCAGGGTGAGGACATTACAACGAACATTTACGCGTGATGGAAGGAGTAAAAAATTGAATGTTTCGAATTGCTTCCAGTTCTTTGAAAACGAGGAAATTGTTGGACATTGAGCTAAACAAATATTCCATCATACAAAACTTGGCATAGAAGCAAAATCTACACTGCTCCTCATAATGGTACTTCCACCTAGCAATTTCCCAAAAACTTGCATCTGACGCGTTTTCGGACAGGCTTCAAGGAGCAATTGTGACACATATAAACACACTTCGGCGCAATGTGCTCGGGGGGGGGGGCAGTCGCCGCGCGCGCTCTTGCGGCAACAGAGAAATTCGTAGGCCAGGGGGAGTGTAGCCAATTCAGGGGGGTTGGGGGTGAGGGCAGTCACATGACATGCGTGAGAAGCTGGAATGTTCGAATTTCCTGTTGCCGCACAGCCGCGCGGGACTGCCCCCCCCCCCAAGGCACATAGCGCCCACAGTTCTGAATATCAACACAAAATCCCAGTATAAAAGCAACAATTTTTATAATATTTGATTTTGTGGAAATACTCACTCTGCCTGTCCCGAGCCACTCTCCACCGAATGTTTCCCGGCTCGATTTTATTGTTAGCCAATCAAATTCTGAAAGTGTTATCCGTTCAGGCCCTCAAATTATGGCAAAAGTAAAACCGCTGTCTATCTTCCGTAAAGGGAAATCCTAGCAAAGGAGGCTGGAGTTGCCGAAGTGTCAGTTTACGCTAGAATTTGGTCGCGATCGCTGCAATCAAATAGATTTTTTGAGGAACCTTCAGGATATGATACTGGTAGGAACCCTTATAACTATCCTACCAAGATAAGCGCCGCTTCATAAGAAAATAATACAACTTTATCAAACCAGCTCGGAAATCAAAACTTCTTTAGTATTTGATGTCTCAATGGACGCAGTTTAACGTGTTTTTCAAAACACTCATGATAGTCCATGTTTGAAAAATAAGTAAGACACATTTTCTGAAAAGAAATCTCTCAGGAAAACGAGCCATCTTTTCTACAAATTTCGCCAAGTCGAGCGATGTGGTGGCACTCCTTCATTTTTCATTTTTGATTTATGTCTTTCTCTCTTAACATTTGTCTCTCTCAGGCTGATTTTTTACTTGGTAGCGAACAAGTATAGAAAAGAAATATATCAGGAGTATGGTCAAAGACTTCAAAATATCACAGATAAAAAAGTGTCATCACATTGCTCGATTTGGAAACTTTCCGAGAAAAATGGCACTTTTTGCTATGATTTCTTTTCGCAAGAACTGCCTTACGATTTTTCCAAACATGGACTCTCATGAGGGTTTTGGAAAACACATTAAAATGCGTCCATTGAGACATTTCCTTCTGAAGACGTTTTGATTTTTGTACCCTGCTTTGTATTATTTTCTCATGGTGCGCGCATAGCATAGCATATCTCGGATAGTAAAGAGTTCCTCACAGTATGATGTCCTGTATGATTTCCGAGAGACTGTTTGTTATGAAGTGACCCCGACCAAATTCCAGCTTGAACTGACACCTCGATAACTCCTTCCCCTCTTTTGCCACGATTTTCCCTTTACGGAATTCTGACGGCTGTTTTGCTTTTGCCATTGTTTTTGCCATGCCCTAAGGAACCTAAGGGTTATTAATATAAAAATGTGATTGGGTTACAATAAAATGGAGCAGAGAAACATGTGGTGGAAGTATGATTTGCGGAATAAGCAGAGCGAGTCCTTCAAAAAAATAGCAGTATTATAAAAGATGTTGCTTTCTCAAAGTGGAAAAAAACTGTGTTTATGTTTATAATTCTCCTTCCGAAACATATTCAGGATGCTTTTTTGGTGAAGAAAAACTTGCAGCAGCACTACATCTAAGGTGTTTTGTTAGGGGAAGTGCCATCTTGGAGAACAGTGTACCTGCTCATGACCAGATTCTTTTATCTTTATTATTGGCTCTACTACTTTTTTCCACATTCTCGAAATACCGATGAGTTCAGATCCCTTCGTGTGGTCAAGGTGTTCAAGAAGGTTGGCTTATTGAAGTATAGTCGACCATGGAATGTGAGCCAGTTTCTGTGAGCAGTTATCAGTCTACTGCGCCCGTTGCTTATTGCATTCTATCGTGCTTTTATTCAGATTTTCTACGCACAGCGATTGCACCAGTGACTCAAGCGGAAAAGCGGAGAAGTAACAAAAAGGAATCAATTACTCAACTTATGTTGAATAAATGTTTTCGGAGTATACGTCATGAGTAGTACTTTTTCTTGGAGGATGCTGAAGTATATCTCTCAGGACCACCTTGGTGCATTGAACTACGCGGAACAACCAGAACGGTCTGACACATCAGACCATAAAAGACCATCCGTGGTTGCATAGCCTGGAGACCTGGCATGACTACAACCGGAAATTCTGGCCTTGGAGGCACTTTGTCTTATTTCTCAAGTGGGTCCTAATGTGTAATTAACGAGATTATATGATACATTAACTCATCGCCTTCTTTCCGGAAAATCAGTTCTGGCGCGAGACTTATGCCATGTCTGGTGGGTTTGAAGCTATTCTTTGGCTTAAGAACTAATTGCTCATTAGATTCACAAGGAAGTTATCCCAGATTGCCGTGGTCATTGGCGGAGGGATGTTTTTCCTAGACTTCATTCGAACACTGATCTCAAATCTGCCTTCAAAATCTCTAACCGATTCTCCGAACGGAGTTGGATGCCGATTAGGTTACCGATAGTGACGTGAGCCCAGTTAAGGTCTCAAGGAATCGGCCTCTTTGCAGATATATTCCTTCGTTTTTGTCTGCATTATTTCTGGAATGTGTTTTACCCACGCTTTTTGAGCTATATTGCCTGTATGAAGAGTTTGCGAACAATTGCTGAACGTCTAGCCGCTGATCTGGGAGTAGCTTCTTCAGGTTACGTTAAATTCCAGATTTTGCTCAAAAATTACTCTATTGAGTACTTCGTGAAATGAAAACAGTGTGATAACGAATATCACACATTTTGTGGACAAAAGCGTGTGTAATGCATCCTACGAACGCCGCAGACATCATGCGGGAACAGTGGTTAAGCTGTTCAGCAATCATTCCCAATCTCTTCGTGTAGGCAAGTTCAGGGAAGCACTGATGAAATATCACGTATGAAATGCTATATAGAAATGTTGCGAATAAAATCAAGAACGAACTCGCAAAGGAACCAATCTCTAGACATCGCCTGAAAAATCGGACCTCCACCGTCGTCGAAATTATCGCCTGTTGAGTGAATATTTTTCACCGAACAAGCAAAGCAAAATTGGAAAGAGAAATGTGAGAATCTGTGTGAGTTTTTGAAGATACGGCGGATTGGCTAAGAACTCCCAGAGTCACCGTCAACATCCTAGTCAACTCTCAAGAACATCGGGATGAGAAAATTTGCCACAAGAGGTCTCCCCAACATGTGATGATTTGGGGTGGCATCAGCCTTTCAGGCGAGACCTCGTTGATTTTAATCGACAAAGCCAGAAATCCTCAAGGAAGCTACACAGGAAGCGAAATTACCCCAACATTATCTTCCAGCAGGACTGGGATCCGGCCGAAGCCAAATTGCGATTAGCTTTCTCGCGATCGGAACTGGCCCTTTTCTGAAGGACTTGTGGCCTGCATTCGGCCCAGATTTCAATTCAATGGATTTCACTGTTTGAGATTATATGGAAGAGGAACTAAGGAGTCTTAACGTAAAGAAGGCTCTTCCTTCGCTTTTTTCTTTCTGTTCCTTTTTTTCGTTACCGTCGGTCCCGCACAGTCGCAGGGCCCGCTGTCTATGCCAGTCGTCGCCATGTTACTCTATCCAGCGCATCTTCTGCTTTGGCCTTGACCACAACTAGGTCCTTCCTGATGACATCCCTCCACCTCTTCTTTATGGCTCCTTGCGGTCGCTTGCGCTTGTCCATCACCTTCCTTGTCGGGTGGCCCTGTGGCCAGCACGTGCCCATAACATCGCAGTCGTTGCCCCTCACCTTCAGCTGGACAGGGGCATAAGCGCTCTAATATATTCGATACTGACCCTGTCCAGTCGTATCCAACTGTAGGCCCATATCAGCATTCTCATCTCAGCATAGTGAAGCCGCCTTTTGTAATTTTTGTTCAAGGGCCAGCACTACCGTACTATAGTACCGCAAGCCTCTCCACTTTCCGTACATCTTCACTTTGAGCATTCTGGAGCACCTTCGATCGCAGAAGGTCAGTGCACTGCCTCTATTACATCCGTGCTGCGTTGACTTCCTGATCCACGCTACCGTCAGCAGCCAGATCGCTCCCGAGTAGGAGACGTCCTCCAATAT